TTGATCTGTAAGCCAGCTCCAATTAATTTATATATATATGAGCTGCCGTGGTCATGGTGTCTCTTCACAGCAATAGAACAGTGAAGAAGACGACCAAAAGCAAGTTAAGAAAGAGAGTTCATTTGGCTTCTGGCTCCAGAGGGCTGGGGTGGATAATGTGGGAGGCACAGCACGTTGCCAGGAGCTGATCACTGCTCATCAACACACGGTGCCCCCCGAGTGATGTCCTTCCCCCAGCAAGGGGGCACCTCCTAAAGGCTCTGCAACCTCTCTGCACAGGAACCCCAACTGAGAACCACGTGCTCAAACACACGGGCCTACGGGACTTTTCCCATCCAAACCAGCAGAAGAAAAGCTCTAAACTTGTCTTCCTTCATAATCCACTTGAAAAATTAATTGATTTATTTAGAGACAGGGTTTCATATATCTTGAGCTGGTCTTACTTGCTATGAAGTTAAAGATGACCTAAATTCCTGATCCTCTAGCACAGGGTTTCCCAATCTGTGGGTCTCAACCCCTTTGGGGGTCAAGAAACCCTTTCACAGGGGTCGCATATCAGATATCCTGCATATCTGATATTTAATTTTGGTTCATAACAGTAGCAAAGTCACAGTTATGAAGTAGCAAATAAAAATAATTGTATGGTTGGGGCCACCACAACATGAGGAACTGTTTATATTAAAGGGTCGCAGCATTAGGAAGGGTGAGGATCACTGCTTAACCTCTACCTCAAGTGCGGGTTAGAGGCCTGTGCCACCGTGCCCAGTTCATACTGGGGTTTGAACTCAGGGCTTCAGGTATGCTGGGTAAGCACAACTGAGTGACATCTCCAGCCCCAAATATGATCGTAAGAAAACTAAAAGAACATTTCTTAGTCTACATATCATATCGGCACATGAGTTTCTTCTTTGCTCAATAGATTTGCAGTTTCTTTCTCTTTTTTGTTCTTTTGAGACAGGTGTCTCTGTGCAGCCCTGGCAGTCTTGGACTATGTATGCTTTATAGACCAGGGTGGCCTCGAACTCCCAGAGATCCGCCTGCCTCTGCCTCCCGAGTGCTGAGATTTAATGTGGGTACCACCACACCGGGCTCAGCCCGTTTAGTAACATTGGGAATTAGCAAAACTCTTATTCAGACAATGCAGGTCAGCTGTTAAGCCTGCGATTTCCCTGTGGAGAAGCTGGCTGAAACATCTGAAACATCTGTATGTGCTCAACGAATACCTCTCCTTCCTGGTTTTACTTAGTCTTCCACAGAGTCCTGGGTCAGCGTCAGGGTCAGGGTCATCTCCAGCCAGAGCAGTCTGGTGCTCCACGAACACAAATCCATGCTCTATAAAATGACCTTGGTAGGGGGAACAGTCAGAAGGTCGGACCACAATGTCTCACCCTCCAGAGGAAGGGTGCTTGTGCGTGTTCACACTCCCCAATGCACCTAAGTGCACATCCACTCACACCTACACAAACACATCACACGTTTGGATGATTTACTTTGCTACAGTGCTGGTCTAAAATGTTTCCTCGAGACAGTAAAAGGGCAAATTTACAATCCCTTTGATATCTAGAAAGGGGCCAAAGGGCTTTATGCTTGCTGCTAAAACAAAGGGCTTTAACAGTCCCCACACCACAATCTGTGGAAACAGACTTGGCTTTTTTGTGTGTGAAGCAAGAGGAACTACGACGAAGCAAGCAAGAAGACTAGCACACGTGACAGGATTCTGTAAGGCGCTGGCTGAGCTTTCTCTAAGTACACAGTCACCCCATCCTCACCCCATCCTCACAGCATTGTTCGAAGGCCAGACCTAACTCTTCCCTGTAAGGATGAGGCTCTGCAGGTGAAAACAGAATGAGTGAAATCCACTCAACGTTCCCAGAGCTCACAGTTTCAGGAGCATTTGAACACGCAGAACACAGCTCGCCCTCCCACCCTGCTTAGACTCCGGCAATTCCACATGTGTAAGAAGGGCACGGCTATGTGCCTGGAATGCTCTCTAACTTGCCCGAGACTCCTGACACTGGCGGTCAGCCTTACAATACCCCGGAGAAGGTCTGCTCCTTGACAAACAGGTGTGGAGGCGGGGCCGGGGCAGGGCATTTCCACTCTGAAATGCTGGAGCGTTGGGGGCTCATTGGTGAAGTTCTTAACTGCACAGACATGAGGACTTGAGCGCGCCCCCCGGAACACATGTGCAGGAAGCCATGTGTGATGGTGCACACTTGTGATCCCAGTGCTGAGGGGGCAGTGACGGGCAGTGGGGACAGGGATGTCCCCAGAGCCTGGGGCATCTGAATACCTGGTCCCAGTTGGTGGTGCTGTTCAGGGAGGTTGAGGAGGGGTTGCCTTGCTGGAAGAAGTGTGTCACGGAGGGTGGGCCCAGCTCTCTGTTTCCTGATGTGAGTCCCCAGCGGCTTCCCCCGCTGCCGGCCTGGCACCTGCTGCCTCTGCTGCCGCATTGCAGATTCTTACCGCCAGTGAACTCTTTCTTCTGTAAGTTGCCTCGGTCACAGTGTTTGAGGCGTAATTAAATCCGATGGACAAATCCCAGGAGCTCATTGGCCTGCCAGTCTGCCCTCCTTGGCAAGACTCAAAATTAAAAGGTGGATAGCAAGGAAACACTTCCTGCAGCTGGCTTCTGACCTCCACACGCACTCATGTATAGCCGTGCAACACACACCCATGCACGGACGCATGCACAATGCTGATTAGATGTTCTTGAGGATGCTTTCCCATGAACTCCTACTGGTCCCCACCAAGCCTTGCTGTTTACTGCAGCATCTGCTCACTGTCTGTGAGGAAGGAGAAGTGAAAGAGGAGCAGAAACTATATTGTTTATAGAGGCAAAATAGGTGGTAACAGGATGAGGTCTGCAAGCTAATGGAAGCTGTTAACCCTTGGGATTTAAAAAAATCTCCTTCAAGGCTCATCTGAGTGAACACATGGTCCCTGGTCCCTGGCTGGTGGCATCACTTGGGGATCATGGAACTTTTGTGAAGTAAGGCCTAGCTGGTGGACGAGGCTACTGAGGTCAGGCCCTGCTTCCAGTCCTCTGTCCTTCCTGATCTGTTGGCCCTGCAAACTCCCATCACTAGACAGCTGCTCCAGCTGCCACACCTTCCCTGCCAGGGCGGGCTGCACCCGTAAACTGAGAGCTAAGGTGACCCTCACTCACCTTAGGCTGCTTCCGCTGGCATTTTGTCGCAGTGATGAGCAAGGTAACTACTGTATTAGCAGGTGCAGGCTTGAGTGTCACAGGGCATGGGTGAAGCAAGTGGGTACCGACCCAGAAGCCTCCTCCTGGAAGGAAAGTGCTATTTCCTTTGTGCTATAGCTTTGAGGGAGAAAAGGTACCACAGTCCTCTCCACTGTAAGATGACCAGCCTAGCAAGATGGCCGGTGGTGAAAGCGGCGCTTACTCAGTGGAGGTGACCAACAGCTCAAGGCCCACCAACAGAAAAGAAGTCAAGCTTGCTACCAGAAGCCTAGCCAAAAAGCCATGGCTGGGGAGGTCATAAACCCCTAGAGGACCTGCTACTGCCAGTTGGCTAAGTCTGTGTATCTTCCAACTGTATTCTCAATACTTACCCTCGCACCCGTACTTAAATGCAGCTCTCATCTCTAAGTTTCTTTGCAGCAGATGAAAGCGCTTATAGCAATCCCCACTGGGCAAGGCTCAGCGCACATTGTGGAAGAGTGTATGAGGACGAGGGCACCTCCTGGAGAGAGCAGCTGTTGGGATTCAGGCCTGGGACAAGTGGCTGAGGTGCCTGTTTTATATACCAAAGCAGACCCGGCCTCTGGGTTGTCCCAGCATCCCTCAGTCCTTGCCTGTTAGAGGGCATGGCTGGCACACCTACCCTCCACCCTGAAATCTCCAGCCCAGAGGATGGGCTCCCCTCCCCAGAGACCCCCCACCACAAAGTCCAGACATTTTGGTTCTGCCCCTCATCTCCGCATTTCCTCTCTTCTCACTGTGAACAGGCACGTTCTCTTTCTGTCCCTGACTCTTGCAACTTCACTGATGTTCTCCTGTGAGGTCAGAGAACCCACCGAGGGCTGCCTCCCAACAAACCGGCCTTTATTTACTCTAATCTGGCTTGAATTGGCTCATTTCACTGGCAGAGGTACTTACCAGTGTCTTCTGATGGACAGGGAAGTTGCCTTCCAGAGTTTAAGAGAGACAACCGATCAGAGAAACACTATTTTGCTCTGCTGGACTTCAGCCCCGGAGGTGGGGTTTTGTGTTGCCAACCACTTCCTGTCCACTGGGAACAGGTTTCCCTGGGGCTGCAGGGCAGTGGAGTGACCGGAGAGGCACCAGACAGCCCCGGGCAGGGAGGAACTGCAGAACCAAGGCACAGCAGGTGATGGGAAATGGCTGCATTAACCTTCTGAGACAAAGACTAGGCCACCGAGAGACGAGCTGGAGCGCAGGGCGAGGGCGACTGAGAACTTCCGTGAGGGTTTGAATGGGAACGGTCCCCATGCACTCAGGTTTGAATGCTTGGTCCCCACTGGTGGAACCGTTTGGGAAGGATTAGGAGCTGTGGCCTTGTTGGAGGTGTGTCACTTGGGGTAAGCTTTGAGGTTTCAAAAGCCCGCACTCCCAGTTAGCTCTGTCTGCCTCCTGCTTGTGAGCCATGAGGTCTCAGCAGCTGCTCCAGCAACATGCCTGCCCGCCCGCTGCCATGCCTGCCCGCCCGTGCCATGCCTGCCTGCCCGCTGCCATGCCTGCCCATGCCACGCTCCTTGTCATGGTGGCTATGGACTCACCCTCCGGAACCCTGAGCCCCGAATTAAATGCTTTCTTTTAGTAAGTTCCCTTGGACCTGGAATTTTGTCAGTGTTGAATAGTAGGCACCCACCACCTCTCAGAGGGGCCTGGACTTGGATCAATAGCCAGGAGTGAGGCCCCCTGACTGCCCCTCACTATGCAGCATCCACGGTGAGGTCTCCACTTCGTGGAGGAGGAGATTTCCCACAGTGAAGGAATAAAGAAACAATCACAACAAGGAGGCCACAGGCCTCCTCAGAAGCTTTTATTTCTTCCACTTTTTTTTTTTTTTTGACATTGCTTGGTATACACTGTCAGCCATTTGAAAATCTTTTTATTAAGTTATGGCAATGGGAGGATTTCACTCCAGTGCTTCAGAAACGAGACCATCCCTGGAGAGGGATCACTCCTCATGGCTCTGGATGGCAAAGGCTTTGTCATAATTTTGATGCACCCCACCTCTAACAAACGTCGCGGCACTGTAAGTAACACATAAGTGCTCTGGAAGGGCAGGAAAAAACACTTCTCCGGAAGTTTACAAGTGCCCTGCGGGTGCGGGAAGACGTGCTCCTGCAGCTGGGCTGTAGTGCAGCATGAAGCAGCTCGCCCGCCAGCAGCGCTGCGACAGCTGCCCTGGGTGAGTCCCGGGAGGCTCCTGGCAGACGGCGGCTGTGGCCCCAACTTCCTGCGCCTTCCAGTGGCGATGGGTAAGCCCTTCACTCGGGAGGCTGCGAGTTTCTCTGCCAGCAGCTCCACCACGGAGAGCAGCAGAACCCAGGCCATCCCCACAGGGGCAGCGGCCCCGCCCACCTCCTCACCGGCTACTCACTTGCAGAATACAAGAGTACAGTTTTTGCAAATTAAATTACTTCCTTAAAATACAATAAAGTATCATTCCATACAATTCTCTTTGAAAAGTCTTTCCAATCCCAGTCTGAGAATTAACTTATAAAAATGTGCAAAACCCAACACTGAATTCAAATAAATAGGACAAAGGGGGAAGGGCTAAACTTTTGTTGTTCCTTTTTTTAAATTAAGATTAAAAACTCCAGCTGCACGTCAAAGCAGCCTCGGGGCGAAATGCACGTGGAGGCTGTTGGCTCATCCCGGCTCCCGCCGCTTCTCTCCGTGAGGTTTGCTGGGCTCAGAAGGCACAATGGATGCCCCCGCTGAGGTCCGTGACCACGCCCTCCAGGATCAGCCTGTGGAGGAGCCTGGTCTCTGTGGCGACATTGTGCATGGCCTGCAAGTTCATGGCGCCCATGCACTGACTGTCATAGTAGTGCAGAGGGCTCCTGGGTCGGCTGAGGTCATAGCCGAAGCCTACCAGGCTGACTTCATCACACAGGTGTGTGGCCAGGACAACAGCAACGACACCCATCGTGGGCACGTTCTGCAAAGAGCACAGACACAGTTAGTCAATTTACTAAGTTCTTTAAAAAAATACTCCCTTTTTCTTTCTTTTACTTCTTTCATTTTTGAGATTATAATATAGTTACATTTCCCCCTTCTGTTTCTTCCCTCCAAGTCATCCTACATACCTCTCCCAGCAATCCTGCAAATTCATGGCTTCTTTTTTCACTGTTACTGCGCACGTGTGTGTGTGTGTGTGTGTGTGTGTGTATACATGTGTACATTCCTAAATAAAACCTGCTCGGTCTAGATGTTTGTGATAAGGGTCTGTCCACTTCACTTCAGGGAGGACCCTCACTGGTCCTCCCCAGGCCCTGTTTCTGGAGCCCACCCCTGTGGGCACCTCTCCCTACTTGCTGACAGCGTCCCACTTACGGCTGGTAAGTGCCACTGGCTGGTCTCAGACCATTCTCATGTTTGTGGTTGTGAGCTCATCTCTCCCAGCCCCTCAGGCCACTTTCACACGCCCAGCAGCTAAGGCAGACCTGAATTAAGGGCGTGAACATGCTTTGATCTTTAAATTTCAATTAGCTAACTTGACTGTATTTTTGTACTTTTAAGATATATGTGTGCGTGTGTCACTGTGTGTGCTTGGAGGACAGTGGACAACGTTCAGAAGTTTGCTGTCTCCTTCCACCACGTGGGGCTGGGACTGAACTTGTATGTTACCCAGCAGGTGACACACCATCCCTTTTGGTTTTGTTTTTTATTTTGAGACAGAGTCTTGCCATGTAACCCAAGCTGGCTTCCACTCCGTGAGGGCTGGGTTACAGGCGTGAGTCACTCTGCCTGGCTACATTTACTCCTTTCAAAACAGATTCAATTAACTTTGGCCTTAGAGGCCCATTTTAGCTTCCCACTGCTGACACGCCACACCCTCTGTCTGCCTGGCATCTTGCCATGGCTCCTGGGATGTGCAACCCTGGCACAAAGCTCTCTGGATCTTCGTTAAGTTTTGGGTAAAAACAGCACCGTAAGACAAGTCCAGAAAGCCTGTGGCTGACAGCCCTCCCTGAGGGGTGGCACTGGTCCTGATGCAGGCTATTTCCTGCATCTGGAATCCGAGGGTCCAAGTTTTAGGAATTTCTGCAGTACTTGTGTATGCTCAGTAGGACATCTTGGGAATAAGACCCCATGCACTGATACTCTCTTGTATATCACATATGCCCTACACTACAATTTCATATGGTATTTTTAGCATGTTCACACTTTCATTATGACCTATCACATGAGCTGAAGTGCGGAATTTTCCACTGATGACATCATGGTAGCTATCAGAGAGTTTTTGATTTTCACATTCAGGATGTTCAATCTGAATTTGTTTCTGGGCAGCTTTTGACCTACAGATGTTTCTCTCATTTTAGTGAAGGCTGTAGCTTCCATAAACACCCCTTTTCTGTAAAAAGGATGAGAGTCACCCAGAGCTCAAAGGTTCTGGATGGGGAATGCTCCAGGAGCTTGTCATTCATTCTCGGCTGCTTCCTGCTCCATGGGCACTCACTTCGCAAAGCCAACCTGACTGCCTAAGACCCCTGCCACAGCCAGTCTGCACGTACACAGAGGCTAAGGGGATGGCTGCCAAGGACGCCTCCGTGCGGTGGCTGTGGTGCTGTCTTGTGCCCTCCAGCAAGTGACACACAGGACAAGCAGCACACAGGGAATCCACATCCTGTGCCTGTGCCACTGTGGGTCAGATCAACTGTTCGTGGGAGCAGTGACGGGGAGAGCTGAGAGAGAACTGCAGGAGGCCAAGATGGCTTAGCAGGCAAAGGTGTCTGCAGCCAAGCCTGATGACCCGAGTTCAATCCCCAGGACCAATAAGGTGGAAGGCGAGAACTACAGCTGCAAGTTGTCCTCTGACCTCCACGAACACACAAACAAAAACAGAAACAAATAAATAAATGTAATTTTTTAAAAAGGACTAGAACCTCCTTAAACTGTATCATCTACAAAACAGCCCTAAGACCAGTGGCCCACAAAACTTCTGCACCTGACGGAAGCGTGTGCACGAGGAGCCTCTGACACGAGGATTTTCAGAGCTGACCCAGGCTGGCCTTGAACTTGCCACGAAGTAGAGGAAGGAAGCCCTTAAATTCTCGGCACACCTGCCACTGCCTCCTGGGTGCTGCAAGTGCAGACATGCCTGGCTTGTGCAGTTTCGGGGATCAAATCCAGGGACCGGTTAATGTGGACAGCACTCTATCAACTGAACCACGTCCCCAGCTCCTAAAAACGCCTTCTTATGATAAATATTTAGGCTATGTTTCATTCAGCATTTTGCTACTGATGCCATGGTGAACATTTTTAACTGCCTGATAGTGAAGATTCCTCTATTTTTTTTTTTTTTAAATAATAAAGGTGTTAGTCTAACATTGCTGGGTAAAAGGAAATTCATCCTGTTTGAGGCAAAGTTGCACTCTGAAGTTGAGTCTGGCCTTGAATCTGCCTTCACTTCCTGAGCACAGGGATGATGGTTATGTCACAACACCTGACCAAGATAATTCTTACTTTATAAGTTAAAAAGATTTTATCTTTATTATTTGTGTGTATGTGTGTCTGAATGTAATGTGTATGTATGGTGTGTGGTGTGTGGTGTGTGTGTGTGTGTGTGTGTGTGTGTGTGTGTGTGTGTGTGTGTACCCAAGGAGGCCAGAGGAAGGTATCAGATGCTCTGGAACTGGAGTTCCAGACAGCTGGGAGCCACCTGATGCGGGGGCTGGGAACTGAAATCAGGTCCTCTGAAAGAACAATGCATGCTCGGAACTGCCACCTCTCTATCCCTGACCATCTGTATTTTAAGTTAAAGCGTGCCACTAGTACAGGGAAAAGGCTAATTTATTCTACATACATACTGCAGACGAAGAGCTTGCCAAGCCTTTAAACTCTGCTAAGAAGGTGAGCAAAACACCGGGCAGGTGTGGTGCCTGCGTGTAATTCCTGCACCAGAGGCAGAGGCAGGAGAATGGAGGGAATGTTAAGGCCAGTCAGCTCTGCATAGTGAGTTCTTGGCCAACCAGTGTCACTTGGTGAGATCCTATTGCAAAAACAAACTAAACCACAAGAAAGTGAGAGCCGCTGTGGCTCTAAATGCTTTTAATTACTGGGGACTAAATAGTTTATTACGCATTTTTGTTTATTTTATTTTCTTCTTTTGTCAAATGTATTGCCTGTATGAATGTTTTGCCTTCATGTATACAAGTGTATTATACCCATGCCCTCTGAGTCCAGAGGAGACACTGGGGCCCCTGAACCTGGAGTTACAGACAGTGATGACCTGCTCTGTGGGTGCCGGGAACAGAGCTCAGAGCCTCTGAAGTGCAGCCAGTGCTCTGAACTGTCGGTGAGTGCTGAGCCGTGTCTCCTGCTCCACCCTGCCTGTCTGCCTGCCTGCCTGCCAGCCTGCCTGCCTGCCTGCCTGCCAGCCTGCCAGCCTGCCAGCCTGCCTGCCTGCCTGCCTGCCTGCCTGCTTATCTATCTTCTTTTTGTTTTAGCTCTAGGAAGAATTCTTTGTATTTTGAGCATTGTTATTTGGTCATACATGTGCTAAATCTTGTTTAAGAAGGATTTCCAAGCCAGGTGTAGTGGCACCTGCCTTTAGTCCCAGCCCTAGAGGCAGAAGCAGGTAGAACTACATGAGTTTGACACTCACCTGATCTACAAAGCAAGTTCCATGACAGACAGTGCTATACAGCAAAACCTTGTCACAAAACAAACAAACAACCCCAAACCCAACCCCCCCAAAGGTAATAAAAGCATTCTCCATGCCACCACCTTCCAGTGGCACATGTCAACTGCAGGTTAACAACTTACTCAATGGACAACCTCGAACAATAAGGTTTTCACATCAGGATGCAAAGCACACCATCTGGGTAATTTTGAAAATCCCCACATGAGGATCACAACACTGACCATTAAGTCTGAATGTCTGAGATGGGGTCAGACTCCAAAGTACTGGCTTAGAGGGCAAACTTCATTTACCATCATCTGCGAAGTGCTGCTAAGTTCCAATTCTTAGTGTCTCGCAGATATAAAGTAGACAGAACCTTTTCAGATGAACAGAGTGCCTGTAGTATGGCCGTGGGGCAAAGATGCCTCAACTAACACCTCAGTAACCAGGTGTCGCTATACAGGCCAGGGTAAGGGACCCCCAGGAGGAAGGCGAATTCACCTCGAGAAGTGTAAGAATGAACACACATGGACTTCTCTGGTCAATGAGTAGGTTTCCCTTCTACAGGGCAGCGGTCCTCAACCTTCCTAAGGCTATGACCCTCTAATACAGTTCCTCGGGTTGTGCTGACTCCCGACGGTAAGATTATTTCAGTGCTACTTCAGAACTCCAGCTTTGTTACTGTTACGAATCACACTATGAGTATCTGATATGCAGGATACCTGATACTCGACCCCTGCGGAAGGGCCGTTTGGCCTCTAAAGGGGTTGCACCTACAGGCTGCGAGCCGCTGCTCTAGGGGTACAGATGTGCCCCTCAAAACGTGAACACGTCCCTTCCTGTCCACAGAGAGCAGTCCGATGAGTAGTGACAAAAATACCTGGTCTTGGCCCCAGAGCCTCGCGCGAGGCTCGGCATACTGAAGGATGTCGAAGGCGGTTTCTTTGATGATAACTGGGTTCAGGATCCTGAAGTGCTTCGGCTGGAGTGGGATCTTCTCTGCCACCCGCTTCCAGAAGAAGAGCCGTACCCAAAACGGCTGAGGAAAGAACGAGAGCAGCCATTAGGGACGCTGTCAGAGAGGCGGAGGAGACGGTCCAGCTGCCCCCGGCTGACCTGAGCACACTCAGCAAATGCATGGACTCCCAGCACATAAGCCCAGCAGTGCCACCCCGAAACCGGCCACCTGGGAAGGTGGCTCAGGCCTGAGGGCAGGGCAGGAGCCAGCCTGCGTGCTGGAGGAAGAAACTCCCGGGGATGGCCAACCACCGTGGTCCCAGAGAAGAGCAGCGACGGGAGGGAGCCACAGTGCCGTGCCGAGGGCCTGTGACAGTCCTCACACCCACTTCCACCCACGCCACTTCCCAGTCACGTAAAATCGCTTAGCACCTGCTGGAGGTCACTTCCTTCCCCAGCAGAGAGTCCAGAAAATCCAAACGATCTGCAGACCCAGGCTCTGGGGCGGGCCCACTAACCTAACACACGTGCGTTTCAACCAGAGTGTGTGCGCGCGTGTGCGTATGACTGTGAGTGTGTGTGTGAGTGTATGTGTGTGAGTGCATGTGAGTATATGTGTGAGAGTGTGTGTGACTATGAGTGTGTGAGTGTGGTGTGAGTATATGAGTGTGTGTGAGTTATGAGTGTGTGAGTGTGGTATGAGTATATGAGTGTGTGTGAGTTATGAGTGTGCATATATGTGTATGAGTGTGTGAGTAGGAGTGTGTGTATATGTATGTGAGAGTATGTGTATATAGGTGAGTGTATGAGTGTGTGAGACTGTATGAGTGTGTGAGTGTTCATGAGTGCGTGTTGCCCAGCCCCTGTGTGTTGGCAGAGGACGGTGTCTGGGCCTCCCCTCTGCCGTGCAGCTCGCCGGGACTGAACTCGGTGGCCGTGGCCTCTGCCCCCACCGAGCCTGCCCTTGTATTAAGATTTCTGTGGTTTGAGACCGAGCTCTGGGGCCACAGTCACGTCTCTGAGTACCGGGCATGCTGGGGCCTCTGCCTTCCTGAAGGCCCTGAGTTTACTCCAGGGAGAGGCAGCTCTGGGGCGAGCACACACAGTCCCAGCTAGTTTACATGCACCCAGGCAAAGCTCGCTTCGTGAGTGAAACGCCACGCAGGTCCATTCTGGAGGACGAGGTGTCCGGCCTCAGGATAGCAGTGTGGCCCTAAAGTGGACACGTCCTTGTAGCAGTGACCACCTAAGAAAAGCCTCCTTGTTCGGGGCATCTGATTTGCTTCTTTCTAAGGCAGGGCCTCAGGTCTCCCAGGCTGGCCTCAACTCCATGGAGCTGAGGGCGACCCAGAGCTTAGCCTCCTGCCTGCACCTCGACAGTGCTGAGGTTATAGGTGTGCACCCCTCTACCCGGTTCTAGTGGTGCTAGGAATTCAACCCAGGCCTTTTGTATGCCAGGCAAGCACTCTACAAACTGAGCTGCAGTTTCAGTTCCATGTGCCAATTCATAACCAGGTTCTGAAAGCATTTTGCAGCTGGAGTCCTGAGGGGTTTTCTACAAAGAGGGAGAATATAATTTGGAAGACAACACAAAAGTATGCATTCTACTGTGTCTAAAAAGAAAAGCCCATAATTGTAATCCCAGGTGCCCTCACTTTTTACCAATGTCTGACTGCCAGAAGAATTTCGGTTCTTACCAGGGATTCGTTTCTTAGCATTGCTTGAAGCCACTTGAAATCAACACTCTTAAATAGAACGGTGACGAACAAGTCATTGGCGTAGTATTCAGCATCCGACAGCGGTGCGCCCTCTGGGTAAGTCATTCTTATAGTGGTTTTATTTCCAACGTGCTGAGAATAACCCTCGACCGGAGCACTGTTTAACCTCATCAAATTAAAAAAAAAAAAAAAAAAAGGAACAACTGACAAAGGAAGCCATCAACCATCCTGTCACACCATGCACACCCCAACATCCTATGCCATGTCCTCCATGAATCGGGACACTGTTGGAGTAGGCTTCCCTCCCAGAGGCCTCGGTGTGCTCCACAGCACTGTCCTCCAGGTTCCGGCTGAATGCAGGCTGCCATCCACGGCAGAACACCAGCAGAAAAGCCTAGACGGTCAACCTCAGCCGTTCTGCCAGCTGAAGCTAGCCCAATCATATAACATCTGGGGCTTTCCTGCGTAGGATTTCTTTGAAAATCTCCTGTTTACTCACATAATTAAGAGTTGTTGCCTGAGTTCTAAAGTTTCCTGAGTACTTGGGGTTACAGGGGTGTGCCACTGTGCCCAGCTAGTTAATGGTCTTCTGAAACCTCATCAAAGCATCTGCCACACAGTTGTGTCTAACCTTTCTACCTCACGGCTACTTCCTCTTCCAGGTCTTAAACACCTAATCCCATGGTTATTAAATTAAGCTACCAAAGAGGACAACTAAATGCCAAAGCACGCCACTAGCCAGATTGCTTTCTTTCTTCTGATGTGAAAACAAAAGGCATTATTTATATAAACAGTTACATGTGAGTAAAGTCTGTAGATTAGGTCTGTAAGCATTAATGTATGGATACAATTTATTAACTGTATATAATAGCTTTCTGATCCTGAGTATCGTGTCCCTGTTCTCAGGAAAGTCACACCCAAGTTCTTAGGGCTTGTAACTTGCAACGTTCACAAAGAGGTCAGCAGAGGGGACTGGTACAGATGCCTCTGACTTTCGAGCGGCCAATGTAAAATCTTTCACCTCCACGAAGGTTCAAAGCAATGTGCATTTGATAAAAACCCAATTTTGAACTTTGGATTTTGGGTGTTTCCTGGGCTGTGGACATACTTTTTTATGATGCCACAGGGTAGCAGACACGTGGATCACGAGGGGAAATGACTGGCATCCTTCACTTTGCTTTATGACCCAGTAGGGATCATAGCATGATATTTACAGCTGGGCTGTTATGCCTGTGGCATGTGCTCAGACACTGGGGACCCAAACTCCAGTCCTGAAGCAGGGAACTTCTGCATCGAGCTACCATCCTTGCCCTGAGATGCATTTTCGATGGAAATGTTTGCTGGGAGTGCAGGCAGGAGCCTCTCTGTGAGCTTAGGAACATCTGCATAGATACAGGGGAAGTCAGCCAACACACGAAATGTGGGCAACCAGGGAGCTGGGAGAAGGCAGATGGGAGCTATCCTCACTATCTCCACAAGACTGTGAAAACGAAGATCCTTCTTAACCAATCTTCCTCCTCCTAAAAGGACATCGAGCCCCATTTCTGCCCCTCCCAGCTGTCCTAGTCCTGTCCCCACACCAGCGAGGGTCCCTCACTCCGCCATCCCACCCGACTCCTGTCAGAGAAGAAAGAACACTGTCCTTCTAAGGCAGCTTGGTGTGCAGCCTCCTCTAGCCACCCGTCCTGGAGCTGGAAGCCTGCACTGTCTGCGTCAGGTCTGCCTTCTTCCCCTCGGCCTAACCGTGCACTGCTGGCTAGGATGGGCCGGGGTTCCTGGCCCTGTCTTGCACAGTGCTACTGACACACAGGCATTACTTCATCTGCTCAAATGGGGCCAGGTGCAAGGTTTAGAAGCCTCAAGACCTTGTACTTCAGCAGTTAGGCACCGACACCTGTGTCTTCTGTGGCACCAGCTACTCATGACGTCATTTCTGAGAAGAAAGCACTTAACACTGCTGGGCAACAAGAAGCACGAATGGATGACAGCGGTCACACGCACGGACCCCTGCAAGACCCAGCCCACTTGGCTTGGCTCTCAGTAGCCTGCGGCTCCCTTCTGCTTCTTCCTAGCTTTTTCCTTGTCCCTCTGAACACCCAGTCTTTCCTAAGAGGCCTTTGACCCAGCATGCCCTGTGCCGGCCCTCTGCCTTCTATGCGCTCCTGAAGTAGCTGCAGCACTGAGAAGCCTACCACTCACTGCTTAGTACTTTATACCCATTCATGCATCCTGTCTCCACAGAGGACGAACCCTTCTGCTTCTGGGCTACAGATGAGGAAACTGAGGCGTCATGGAATGGCTGACCAATTAACAGACGTCCCATGTGAACATGATGTTCACTTTGGGGATCAAAATGGCTGGAGTGCATTTCGTCAGGTGCCCCGATAACCAGTTCTTTCCACTTCTGGGTGTCTGATAGCACTTCAGCTAAGGCCTTAGACCCCTGGACTAGAAATCTTGCTATCACTTGACATTAGTTTTCAAACCATTAAAAGGGGCGGTCAATTACTTTTCAATATGACCTCCAGATTGTCTTCTGAAATGCTTCCACTCTCTGTGTGTCACTCCCAACCATATCCGTCACACCCTTACCTCTAGGCTCTGCTACATTCTCCTGTCTTCCATCTGCCCATGGACCACCGCAGGCTACACAGACTGAACTAGGACCTAGCTCTTGTGGCTAATTTACTGCCGTGTACCCAGGGTTGGAAAAACAGACCCCAGGCCTTGAAGACACCAATTCAACTTGTCTAAGGACCTAATCAGAACTGGCAGAAAGACACGAGCATAAAATACACAAGTAGTTTCATAATAAAAAGTGAAATATCCTAAAGTATGGCAAAAGAGTCACCAAAAAAATTATCTTCTTCTACAAGCATTCTAAGATACTAATGACCTCAGAAACTATTCATAAAATATAAGTTCAAAACACTTCACAAAGATACAAAATGCAGGGCTGGAGAGGTGGCCCGGGTGGACAATGCTGGCTGCTCGTCCAGAGGACCACAGTTTAGTTCCTGGCAGCCCCGCTGGGCAGCATCCAACGGCCGGTAACTTCACTCAGGAGACTGTGGTGCTCTCTTCTGGTCTCCATGGCCACTCGCATGCATGTGTGCGCATACACACAGACACACAAATGAAAACCAAAACCAATCTTTAGAGACAGATAGAAACACAGACGCCCATGTCCAGAGCTGCCCATGAAAAGCAGCACAACAAATCAGCAGTGCTGGGTACTCGTGCTAGGGGTCGCTGATGTTTTCTTCCTAAGAAAGGGTATATTTTACGTTTCTAATTGGAAAACCTTTTTTTCTCTCCTGCACTCCCACTAAATGGAGGGCCTTGTGCCTGTAAGCAAGCATTCTACCATTCATCTATCCCCTAATCTACAGGAATAACTTTTAAGTACCATGCCAGTGGCACATGCCTTTAATCCTAGCACTCGGGAGTCCCAGGCCAACCTGGTCTACGTAGTGAGTTCCAGGACAGTCAGAGCTATGAAGAGAGACCTATCTCATAAACCAAACAAACAAAAAATCCAAAAATCCAACCAACCAACCAACCAACCAACCAACCAACCAACCAACCAACCAAAAAACCAACAAAAGACCCACAAAACAAGCAAACAAAAATCCAGTTAGCAAACAAAGCCCCATTTAAAGAGTTAGGCAAGTCAAAGCCCAGGATGGCTGCCTACTGCTTGAATTGAGGTCTAGCTGCCCTCTCAGAGCTGACCCCAGGTCTCACTACCCCAAACTCCACTCCCAAAGCCAGGTGTTCCCAGCGACCTCCCAGCCCACATCACCTAACAGTACTGTTTAGCAAGACCCTCCTCCCCCATCCTTCCAAACCTCCCTCTTCTGAAAGGCCTGGCAAGTGACTCCAGCCACAGCACACTGAAGCTAGGATAACCGCTGCGTAGTTTGGGAACCTGACCGTTTGTGGTTTTATGTCAACACCCCAAGAGTTGACCCAGGGCTGCTGAAGAGCTGCCACTGTTCTTAGTGCAGGAGTACAGGACCCGGTTCTAGAGCAGAGAGGCTGGTTTTGAGTAGGTACCTTATTACCACGTCGAACTGGTTGAGGGCGTGGCCCAGCTCTAGTCCACGCAGGATGCCCCCGTTCCCGATAACCACGCAGCGCTTGCAGTCCTTGGCTCTCAGGTGCTCAGGGAAGTCATGCTCAGGCAGCATATCCAAGAGGGTCTGGACTTTACTGGAGAACTCCCGGAATCCAAAAGGAGGGTCATACTTGAGCTCGGCTTCGCTGGCCCTGGGGACCTTCTGCACAAAAGGCTCCAAGTCCATGTTGTACCTGTGCTCAAATAACTGAGCCATGCTCATCTTCGCGAACCTGGGCCGGCATTTCTTCTGTACGACTTGCCAAGCATGTCTCTGAGCTCTCTGGAGGGGAGAGCAACGTAGGCGTTAAAACCTCTCCAACATCAGAAACAGCACCGTCTGACACTCCTATGATGGCTGGAGTCACTCCCTTGTTGATCATCATTTGGCAACACAGAACTTTTAGGGCTAATTTTTTGCTCAGGAGCAGGAAGGACCCGGGGGTTCCCTGACAGGAAGAGAAACTCTCCAGGGGTGTTAGTTATGCCAATGAGACAAACCTGTCTTAAGAAGATGGGCACTAAGATGACTGCACTTTACTGCAGTGTACAAAGTGAGCAGATTCACAGACGCCAAGGAGAACGGTGGGGCCAGGCACCGAGGAGGAGAGGCAACGAGTGTGTCTAACAGGCATGGGGTTTGGGCTTTGCAAATTGAAAGGTTCTGGAGGTCCAGCAAGATGGCTAAGTAAAGGTGCCAGTTGCCAAGCCTGGTGTCTGAGTTTAATCTCTAGGACCCACAGGATGGAAGGTGAGGGCCGACTCCCAAAGGTGGTCGCCTGACCTCTATACTCTGTGGCCCACCCATGCGTGCACACACACAATAAAGAGGAAGCTCTAGAGGTCTATGAGCTTAGTGGTATGTTTGCCTGGCAAGCTGCAAAGTTCTGGTTTGGTTCTCAATACCCCAAACGGTTACAACGGTAAACTGAGTTATGTGGGTTTTGTCTTTTACTTCAATAACGGAGAGCTTCATAATTTCCACCCAGCAGGCTAAGAAGCAGTCTTGTTTATCAGTAGGGTAATTGGCTTTGGTCTGGAAGACAAATGCCCTTCAGCGTTATCAGGGAACAAGTGTCCTGAGCACAGGGAACCTGCTGGTTCATGTGCATTTCCCTAGAGCTGATGGCTCCTATCAGCAAAGACCAGCTGCTGAAGGCCACGTCAGGAGACTGCCCACACGTGGCTCCTGTGTCTTCTTGCTTTCCATTCTTCTGTTCAACAGCCTGCCTGCTCACATGCCGGCTCCCAGGCAGCTTCCTCCTGTGCACACATGCAAATGTGTGGCATGAGGTCCTCTATTTCCGAGGAACTGGTCTCTAAACCTGTTAGTGTACCATAAAGATTCCTACTGCTGTAGTTTTAAACATTACCTCAGCTGTTTTTCCTCAGTCTTATTACTATTTTTACTCCATTTCTTATTACACTTCATTCTGTGTGCAAGTGTGTGGGTGTGGATGCATGTGCCTTCGTGTGCAAGGATGTGTGTGCGGGTGTCTGGGGTCAGTTTATGGGAATCAGCTTTCTCCTTCTCTGACCTGGGATTAAGGGGTGGACCGGTTGTCAGTCCTGGCAGGAGGTGCTTTCCACACATGGCTCCACCTCACCACCCATTATCTAATTTTTGTAGAATATGTGTTTAAAGGGAACACACTTCCCTCATTTCAGTAGAAAGCCTTTGAAAAGGGCTTGAAAGTACAGCCTTGAAAAGTTACTTAGTGTCTGTAAAGGGCATAGCATGTACATTTTGGGGATTGGCGTCATTTTGGAATGGGGGACTGACTGTCTCACAGACTCACACCCATTGTGGCACTCTAAAATAAGGTCAGTACTAGCGAGCATCCTTTGTGGTTTCAAGGCGGCACATGCAGCAGAAGGAATGGCTGAGCTGGGCTGCCCACTGCCAAGGCCTGAAACAGCAGCTTCTACACCTACAGGAAAGAAATGACATTCCAGACTAGCATTTTCCCTGAGCAATCAGTTGGAAAGCCAAGCAAGGAATCTCTCATGACTCTGTGTCCTCATAAACACTAAGCACATGAGGCTCCATCCATCCTTAATGCCAAAGTTGGGGAGGTGAAGCAAACAGAAAGACTCCTGCTACGGTCTTCATATACCCTATAGACTCCAGGCCTGGTGGTCAAAGACAGACATTTTCGGAGTTCCAAAGGCCCAATTCACCCCAAGGATACCTGCCCAGCGCATGGTTTCCCAGGTCACCTAGGACGCAAAGGAACATCTGCAAAGTGTCAAAGGAGACCCGGGAAGCTTCTCACTACCGGACAGGAAGGGGGTTGTAAGCAAGTGGGAAGTGTGTGCCCGGCTCTTTCTGCTGCCAGATCTTTTCTGTACAAGTCTCCTTTGGAGAGGAGTGAGATTTCATTCTACCCCGTCTTGGAAAAGCACTCAGTTTCAGGCTTCAAGTTTACTCTCTCACACTGAGAGCAGAGTCCAAGACCCAGCTGTCGCCCTCCCCTTCGGTGCCTGCCACAGCCTGGCCAGGAAACTGGAGGGCACAGGCAGGCACAGCTCAATGGCACTGCTGATGTCAGAACCCCCGCCCATCCTCTCCAATCTTGTTTCCACTTGTTTAAACTCGGGCTGAGCTCTGAAGGTGTCAGCAATCATGTGGGATAACTTTTCTAATTACAATGTACTTCGCTGTCTCTCTCTCCTCTTTTCCCTGCATGGGCTTCGAAGCTTAAACAAACAAACAAACAAACATAAAAAATGGAACAGCTCACTTTAGGAGCTGGGGTACTTGGAGGAGGTAGTGGTTCCTGAACACGGCAGCTGAAAAGAAAGGGGGTGGGGTGGCTGACTGGAAGGCACCATCTAGGCGGCCCTGGGATGCAGAGAACCATGACACTGTGTCAAAACTAGGGATGGAGATGAAGGCTCTGGTTCTTCAAAGCCATGGGAGCCACACTTTCAGTGTGTTCAAGCCTCCTTTCAGAGGCTTCTACTGGTCTTGTTAACAACTGGCATGTTAATGGACACTAAAAACAAACAAACACAACATACGCTCCACAACTGGGCAGCTGCTCTCCCTCCCCTGCAGAATGAATGGCATTTGGGCCCAGTGCAACCGGGAATATTGGCAGGGCTGGGCAAGGGTGCCATTCATGCTTCCAGATGCTGGACACAGCCACCGAAGCTAACAGGGCTCACTCTGCTGAGACAACACACGTACAGTCATTGAAACCCACACTCACGTAGGCCAGGTGTGTGGCACATCTGCAGTCCAAGTCCATTGTGCACGACAAATAACAGATGGATGCCTGGCTGCTGCGGCTTGGGACTTCCTGTCTGTCCCACTTCCCATCTCTTTTCTGCTGTGCCCCACCCCAAGCCCTCCATGACACGCTGCACACACCAGAAGGGGGCCATCTTACCAAGACCTTTCTGAAAAGTGGGGCTATCTGAAAGGGTTAGAATGGTTTTGATGTTGCTGCTGCTTTGTGTTTCCAGGAGGGTAGGAGCAGGGAGCGGGCCGAGCAGGTTAATGTGCTCCACACGGGACACCCCGAGTTCGGTCCCTAGAACCCCATGGTAGAAGGGGAGAAGACCTCTTGTAAGTTGTCCTATGGCCTGTACGTGTGTGCGGTGGCAAGTATGAGTCCACACACACAAATAAAGACATGTTTTTAAAGGGTTCACAATGAGCCCGAGCCGCGTGACCTGCCTTTAAAAATGTCTCACGTTGTCGAACAAAGGCAAACAGAACTTGCCTCCAGCTTCACCACGGCTTTCAAGGGTTAAGTACACAAAACAGTCCCCTACTCTCTTCCCCAGTGGAAAACTATAGCAAACTTTCGCTTATTCTTTCCTGTATTATTTGAAATTTGAGGATTTTGCTGTTGCTTAGTTTTAGAACCAGGGTCTTACTACACAGCCACACTGGCTCCAATCCCAGCTCCAGCCTCTTGAGTGCTGGGATTACCACCATGGGCTACTATGTCCAGCTCCTGTGTCCAGTTACTATGTTAGTTTTCAATTGGAAAGATGAACACATTATGCTAAGTGCAAAAAGCCAGCAACAAAAGGCAGTGGGCTGTATTTACATCAAACAGAAAACAGCCCTAGAGCAGAAAGGGATTCGTGGTTGCCTGGACCAGGGATCGAGCTAACAGTCCTGCAGTTTCTTTAGGGGATGATGAAAAGGCTCTGTACACACATCACCACGCAGCACAGATCTGTAAATATGTAGAAGGCTCATGCCATACGCGGTGAGTTTTATGATGTGTGAATTGTATCTCAATAAAGTGGTTAGAGAGAGAGGCTGAGAGGGAACAAGGGAGCAGCTGTACCCAGTGCGCCAACGGAGGCCACGCTGGGATGCCGCAAGGGGAAGCCGGTGATGGGCCATGCGGTCACACGGGGATGGAGGCGTCGCCACGTGCTCCTGAAGGTAATGAGACTTCTGGGGGAGGTGACACTGCAGGCTCAGTGCTTAGAAATCCTACTGTCCAGTGATAGGGCATACCCGAGGCAGAGACAAAAGAGACAACAGACCAGAACACAGAACCCCTAACAGCCACCTTGGCATGCAGGCCTTCCCAAGACTCTCAGGAACTGTGTGAACTCAACCTACTTGCAAATACTGCACAGTTCAGACACACTGGGAATATACTCACATGAAGCAGCACGAGAGGGGTGACGAACGGAAGGAGACCTCAAGCCCTTCCCCTGCAGAATGTAGCCAGTCCAATATGCCTGTCATTGAAGCCACCTAGGCCGTCCTACCATTTGCCCTAAAGCAGATCTTTCAGGCCGTGTAAGTGTTCCCACCTTTTCTCTGATGCCTCAGAGATGCAGTCCTCAGTCTGTTTTTGGTCTTTTTATCTAAAGTCACTGAAGAAAGTTAAAGAGCAATAGCTCCCGTCATCATGGCTCAGTCGTTACACTGAGCCATTAAGCCGTTCTTCCAGAGGACCTGGGTTAGATGTCCAGCATTCATCTGGAGGCTCACAACCATCTGTAACTACAATTCTAGGCGATCCAATGTCCTTTTCTGGCCTCTGTGGGTACTGCATACTTAGGATATACAGACAGACATGCAGGCAAACTTCTAGCTGGGTGTGGTAGGGCACGCCTTTAATCCCAGCACTTGGAAGGCAGAGGGTAGAGTTCGAGGTCAGCCTGGTCTACAGAGCGAGTTCCAGGGCTACACAGAGAAACTCTATCTCCAAAACCCAAAATCAGAACAACAAAAACAATAACCTAGATACGTAATTTTTTTAAATTAAAAAAAAAGAGTAACAGCTATCACAATCAGAGCAGGAGCCGGGTGATGGCTGAGTGTCAAAGAACTTGCTGCACGAGTTGAGGACTCAGGGAGAAAACCAGGCATGGTGGCATGGGCACACATAAATCCACATGAAGGCAGTTGTCTGACCTCTAAAAGGACAAGGAGACCAACCCCAGTCTATTCCTGTAGTTTTGGGGGAGATAATGCTCACGGGCAGCCAGGTCTCTATGTCTGCCAGGTGGGCTCCATATGAGGCGCTATGGAAACTCATCCGATCTGTGCCCAAGCACCGAGCACCTCCTCACAGACTCCAGAGCCATCATCTGGCAGGCAGGCAGGCAGTCATGGTACATGTGATTCAAAGAACAGGAAAATAAGATGCATGAGAAAGTGGGGAAGCTTGGCAAAGATCAAGGAAGAAGAATCCAGAGTGACTCAGTAACCCATATTAAACCCATTATCTTAGGCCTTTTCCAGGAGACAGAAAACAACAGGAAGTAAAAAACCCTGGTGCAGGAGTGCTGTGAAAGGCCTTGGAACTGAACGGGCTTCAGGGATGTCTGCAAGGCCAGACCAATCTGCAGAGGAGGCTCCAGGCAGATGTGGAATCCTCACGAAACAAGAGGAGACAGGAAGCATCTGAGGAGGGAGGCATGCAGGAAGGCAAAAGCCTGTGACTAAGCCGCTGAGGCCAAGTGGCTTCCTTAGCTCGACCACAAAAACGGAAGCATCTGAAGAATACAGACTAAAAGAGGAATGAATGAATCCAAATCCAGCAAGGAAGGAAGCATCTAGAAAAGAACAGACATTCACCATTCCTGATACTTCCCAGTTGAGAAAACTTGGGCCTAGTGTATTCCAGTACCATTGGGTTTGGTTTGGTTCAGTTAGGTGAGACAGGCCTTGAACTGGCAGCAATCTTCCTGCCTCTGTCTCCTAAGTGTTGGGACTACAGACTGGTCAGGACCCTGGCTTGATTGCTTCATCTCCAATCCCCAGTCACCTCAGCTGTGACAGGGAGGATGACATGCTACATCCCAGGCGATCTTGAGGACTCTCTGAGCTGAGAGCATGTTTCAGCTGCAGCATGACCCCTGACACATACCAAGCACAGAACAAGGGTAGCTACACTGGCTACTTGGGTTAGATGTCGGTGAGCAGGTCATACCCACAGGCCACTGTCTGTAGATAGACAAGAGGCTGGGCTGATAAGGAAGAACGACAGAGTGAGCCACAGTCCGTGTAACAGTCTGTTCCTCCTGGAGCTCACTGCCGCCTCACCACCCTGGATTCAATCACCACTTTTTTTACCCTGGGCTGAACACTACAAACCTAACTACTCACTACTTCACCTATCAAACAACTTAGAAACATCAACAAAAACTGAAAGAAAAACTGAATGCAATACTATGTAAAAAATCTTTCAGACTAAAACCTGTCTTTGTACTCACAGATAAGCACCTGGAACACCAGGATTGTTGAACATGCAATGTTGTCTCTTCAGTGGAAGAAATGCATCACCTCTTTCCCTCCCGGAAGGCTGGAAATGGAGGTTGCTAGTAGCCTAGGCGATCCTTGAGCTATCTGTATGGTCAGGGGCTCCCCCAAGCTCTTTCAACCAGGATGGGGGGGGGTGCTAATAGCCTAGATGACCTCTGTACCAGTTGTGTGAGCAAGACGACACCAGAACCTCCCCATGACCCTTAGGATAACACATGCAGCCTGTCTTTATCTTCATGGAAGACGTGACACGTACTTTGGGAAGAGTTTCAATGTAATCATGCCTCCTTGTGCACATGAGGAAACTTTTTCCCAAACTGGACTATATTTAAATGTGCCTAAAGTAAACTGCCCGGTGTCAGAGTCGAGACGTTTGAACCAACACCGGCTATGGAGTCGTGCTGAACCAGATTTCCTTCTTTCTCACATGGATCTTTCCTCTGCTGGTTGTGGTGTTTCCAGAGATCCCACAAAAACCGAAGCCCAGGAATGACACATCACATCAACAGAATCATCATGATGAATGAACTCCATGGAAGGTGCCTCAACATGTGTCCAGTAGAGTCCACTAGTAAATGGACACTAATTCTGCAGGATGGAAAGGCTAGGTGGTGGGTGGAGAAGGAGGGTGTCTGGTTTTGGAGTGCTAAGACTGAGTTTTCCTTTGTCCTAGCTTGAACTGTCAACAGGACTCAGCCTAGGGTCACCTGAGAAGGGAGTCTCACCTGAGGGACTGCCCAGGTCAGACTGGCCCATGAGCATGTCTTGACTGTTACTGGCGGTTTAGGGGCCTGTCCACCGTGAACAGTTCCATTCCCTGCGCAGGTGGTCCTGGGCTACATAGGAAGTTAGCTGAGTACTAGCCTGTGCCAGCCAGCAGGCAGTGCTCCTGCATGCTTTCTGACACACTGCCTTGGGTGTGAGCGAGTTCTCTGGTTACAGGGTAAATCTGAATGGAATGGCATACCTTAGCATTCGGCCTTGACTTCCCTCAATGATGGACTGCAGTTACTTGAACTGAAAGAAAGCCTCCCTCCCCTAGGGTGCTTTTGGCGAGAGCACTTTGTCACAGACCACAGCTATGAAAGTAGAATGCTTCTTGAGGTTTTCACTGGTATTTCTCTGTCATACAGCAGAGATGGGCTTGCAGCCAAGGTGTGTGTGTGGACACATGTGACCTTAAACCACATGCAGCAGCTCACCTCTTTGTGGTCAGGCTTCACCTCGTACATTCCTTTCATGTCACATTCTTCGACAGTGTAGTTTACCTTGAGGATGTACAGGAGCCACAATCCAAACCCAAGCAATGCACACCTGGATGGGCGGAATCAGGTGGAGTAACGCAGTCTGCGACACCCAGAGAGAAACATAAACTAAGGCAGTCCTAAGTCAAATGAAATAAAAGTAGATCTAAGGCAGCGGCTCTCAACCGGTGGCTCACGACTCTTTTGGAGAGCTGTTCAGCCCTTTCACAGGGATCACAGATCAGAAATTCTGCAGTGCAGACATTACATCACAACTCATAACTGTCACAAAATTACAGCTATGAAATAGCAGCGAAATAATTTTATGGTTGGGAGTCACCACATGTAACCTGAAGAACTGTATTAAAGAGATGCAGCATTAGGAGGGTTGAGAACCATCGATCTCTGGTTACCGTACAGTAAAAGGAAGGTATCATTTCCTGATGAGATAAATTAGTCACTTATGAGTCTCTTTTTTATAAGTAAATATAGAATCACCATGCCCAATGCCTCTTTTTGCAAGGGCAGAAAATCCAGATAGTAAAATCTAAATCACAATGTCGATGATGGAACTGTAGTAGCAGTAGAACTACAGAATCTTTTTCTGCATCTTTAAATACTGTCAGGCTTTTAACAAAGAAACAGTCCAGGTGAAGGGGGAGGTGGAAAACCTAGATGCAGTTTTTTTTTTTTTTAATTAAATTGACAGCTGATTTTATTCTTTAGGAGAAAAATTATTCCATTTGTCTTGTTAGAAAGAACACTGCAACTGTACAAACAAAAAAGATGATGAAAGCTCTTAACACACAGTTCTCTAGTTAAGAATCTGATTTCCTTTTGCATGTTTGGAATCACCATATGCCACTCCAGCGAAATTGCTTTTTTTTTTCTTTTTCTTTTTTATATTTAATTACAGTAGACTAGATACAGTTCTAATGCACAAGGTTCTCACGGATTTTAAAGAAACAATCTCCCACGGGGCTAAGCACCATCTGTAACTCCAGGCCTAGGGGATCCTCTCTGGCCTCTGGCACTGACACACGTGGTGCAGCCATTCTTGCAGACAAAACATTAAAAGAAAAAACCTACTAACCTACTTGTATTTCTAGAGAATCCTACCAAGGAATGCGTGATTAGAGAACACCAGCAGTTACCCCAAGCACATCGAAGACTGTCTCTACAGCTCTCATAATTCACACTTGCTTAGCATCATACCATGCACACAGACAGATGGACAGACACGCAGTCCCTGGAGGAAAGAGAGTGTTTAGTTTTGGCTCGAGTGTTTAGTTTTGTTTGTTTGGTTTTGTTTTTATGAGACAGGGCCTTCCTAATTAGTTCTGGCTGTCTTGTGGCTTCTTATCTAGGCAGACCAGGCTGATCTCTAGCTCACAAAGATCCTCCTGCCTCTGCTTTGCATGCACTGGGATTAAAACTGTACACCACAAGGCCCTGCCAAGACTTCTTTTCAGTAAGTCTCCAGCAACACTGATAAAGGAAATGTCGAAGGGTCTAAGCCACAATTTAAGAGCCACTGCTTTAAATAACATCCTTAAGACCTGTTTACTTGTATTTTAGTGTGTGAATATTTGCCTGCATGTGTGTACATTCACCACATGTGTGCTCAGTCCCCAAGGAGGTTACATGAAGGTGTGAGATCCCCTGGAATTGGAGTTACAGGTGGTTATGAACCACCACACACACGATCAAAATCAAACCCAGGCACTGCAGGAAGCGCTCCAATATGCTCTTCTGAAAACAAAGGTAAAGAGTCATCTTTTGAGAAAAATAATGTATTTCCTTTTTTTCTTTCTTTGTGCTTGCAATCTCAATGCAGGTGAATAACCCCCACAGTATGTAATTTAATTTAAAAAGAATGAGAAAAAAGAAGGAAGAAAAGGAAGGAAGAAAGAAAAGAAAAGAAGGAAGAAAGAGAAGGAAGGAAGGAAGGAAGGAAGGAAGGAAGGAAGGAAGGAAGGAAGGAAGGAAGGAAAAAGTTTCAAGTTGGTACCAAAGAAGCCTGCCCAAGTTCTTCCTTTGCTAATTTTCCTAAGTGCTGGGACGTAAGAGTCCCCTGGCTTAAACACCTGTCGTCTCCAGTGTTCAATATTTAGTGGCATTCAGGAGTCTTCTGGAGACGTTAATTTGTCAGTTTACATAATCGCACAATAGCTAAGCACACCTTTTGTTAGGCAATGGTACACTAAGTTACTCTCAGGCACCCAAGCTCAGAGACTGGCAATGGTGCTCCCATCAAACCCATCTATCAAATACAAGCGGTGCATAAACTCATTCGTCTATGTACTGAGTCTTCGCTTTACCTGCTCCTTGGACCCAGCGTTCGCCTCTAACTTCAGGTGCGAACCTCACTGAACACTTCTAACCTTATGCTGTTGACCTGGAGGTATTCTTAGGGCCTGGGGCTTGTGCTTACTTTCGGATGTGTTTTAGTAACGAGCTGGGTCTTCTCATCTTGTGCTGGGTTCGGGTGTACCATTGCAGGGAGTTCCTTGAGCAATCACTTCTCAGCTTTACAGAGGTGAACTCACTTGGCATTGCTGGGAAGAGAGAGGAAATGGGGGAAGGGAGAAGTGTTAGGTGCATGATACTTTAAGAGACTTTAAATTGATACTGCCGTGCTTGGAGTACTACTTGGTAATAGAAGCTATGGCTACAACCACTGATACAACAACTTGCGCCAAACTAGCCAAACTAGAGGGAGTGATGTTGAGATGAATGTTAAAGGGTCACACGCTGTATGAGACCTAACACTCTTCAGACAACAAAACCACAGAAGCAGAGAGCACAGCAATAGATGAAAGGAATTACTGGGAGGAGAAGGTGTGCTGGGACACACCTATAATCCCAGCTCTGGAGAGGCTGAGGCAGGAGGATGGTGAGTGCAAGAGCTACATACGCTGTCTCGGGGTATGGCACCGTGGGGGACCCTGAAGTGACAGAAATGTTCTGGATCTTGACATTTCCTGCTGCCCTGACTGTTGAGACACAGCTCTGTAGTTTTGCATGATGCCATGGTGGGGGAAAGGTGTAGAGAATCTACAGATTGTCACACATGAATCTAAAACTACTCCAAAATTTAAAACTTAATATGGGGTGGGGGCTGGCAAGATGGTGAAGTATGTAATTGCCAGCAATTCTGATGACCTGGTTTTGAAGTGCCTGGACACTTTCTGAAGTGTTCGAGGCTGTTGTTCATACAGAATAAAAAGCCCCGGGGTTTTCACTTCCCTAAACAAGCTTGGTTGATTCCACTGCGCCGCCTGATACGCCTGATCACACAGTGGAGGCGAAAAAGATGTAGTCAGGAAGTACTTCAGGATCTATCCCTTCCCTTGACTGGGTCTGCTGGAAAATATGTGGCCTTATGGGTTCTGCCTATATAAGCTACTACAAAATGTGACTCGCAGCCATTTTCTGTGAACCCCAGAACGGTCCGGGCCAGAGTCCATCATCTCAGCCAGTATTTAATTAAAGCTTGCTTCAAATTTGGCTCAAAAATTTCTGGGAGTGGTCATCTTCTCGACCAGTGGGATTATACACCTCACATGTTGGAGTTCCTGCTATCCCTCCTGGGCTTCAGGTTGAAAAAGAAAGAAGACAGCTATTCAGACAACTGTTAGTTCAGTGCTATATCCTGAAGTTCCCAAGGAAAAGGTCACACAGCTGCATTGAAGACTCTAAACCAGTTGTGGGGTTTGAACTTTAAAACCTAGGAGAGCTGTAATGCTGCTGGTCTAGAATCCAAATAATCTTGGGCTATCTTAATCAGCCTCCGTAGCCACTCAGTGCCCATGTTCCACGCCTGATGTAGCATGTCAGATGCAGATCAACTTTCAACTACCAGGCAAAACCCTGGAACATATGAACTCACAAAAAGCTAATACTGTCATCAGACAGCACCTGAACCTGCAGGAGAGATGCCCCCACCTACCAGCGGTTGGTAAATCCCTTAACTCATGAGCATCGTTTGTTCTGTGTCTATAAAAAATCCACATAACTGTTTCCATGCTTCCTGAGCAATGACTGGCTGTTCCGCATTCTCTTTGGGGTGTGTCACAATTACTTTCAGCTGTCAACAGGACACAAACTTAGTCATCTGGGAAGAGAAACATTAACTGAAGAACTGCCCCTCAGGGACTGGACATGTCTGAGAAACATTTTCTTAATTCTCAACTGATGTAAGAGGCCCTGCCACTGTGATTGTGCGATCCCTAGGCTGCTGAGAAAGCCACAGGGAGCAAGCCGGTAAGCAGCATTCTTCTGTGGCCTCTGCCTCAGTTCCTGCTGCCTGGTTCCTGCCTTGATCTCCTGTCCTGGCTTCCAATTGTGATGGGCAGCAAGACTAAGCAGACCTTTCCTCCCTAAGATGCTCTTGGTCATGGTGCTTATTACAGTAACAGTAAAATCAGAACAAGGTCAGAATGTTAGGTACCAATAAAGCAATAGCCTATCTTGTATGGGCACCAGTTGCTATTATGATAAATTTACATATTTAGTAATATGTTTACCATATTTAGTGTTTCTGACTGAAAGGCTAAATATACTCAGTCTGTCCATTCTGTCTCCCACCCCACCCCAACACCCATCTCCCTGGGGACTGAACCCAGGGCTTCACGTGCATGTCTACTGAGCTACACACATCCTAGCCCTCAAGTTGTATCTTATGACTTGGTTTACTTCCCTTTGCAGACAGGATCTCACTGGGAAGCTCAGGCCCACCTTGAACTGGTAGCCCTATGGCCTCACCCTCCCTAACACTGGGACTGAAGGCTGCACCACCACACCTGACTAGACTTTTGTTGTTTTCTTTGAGGAAAAAACCTTTCTATTTTTTTTTTCCTGGTTTGTTTTGGTTTTTTTGAGACACAGTTTCTCTTTGTGGCCTTGACTATCCTAGACTCACTTTAGAATAGGCTGGCCTCGAACTCACAGGTATCTGCCTGCCTCTGCCTCCCTGAGTGCTAGAACTACAGGCGTTCGCTGCCACTGCTGAGCCCAGCTGAAAGACCTTTTATTATTTATTTATTTTTAATTTTTAAAATTATTTATTAATTACACTTTATTCACTTTGTATCCCCCTTGTGGTTCCCTCCCTCCTCCCGTCCCAATCCCTCCCTTCTTCCACCCTCTGCCTGCATGCCCCTCCCCAAGTCCACTGATAGGGGAGGTCTTCTTTTCCTTCCTTCTGATCCTAGTCAATTAGGTCTCATCAGGAATGGCTGCATTGTCTTCTTCTGTGGCCTGGTAATGCTGCTTCCCCCTCAGGGGGAGGTAATTAAAGAGCAGGCCAATCAGTTCATGTCAGAGACAGTCTCTGTTCCTATTACAATGGAACCCACTTGGATACTGAACTGCCATGGGCTACATCTGTGCAGGGGTCTTAGGTTATCTCCATGAATAGTCCTTGGTTGGAGTATGTCTCAGGAAAGACCCCTATGCTCAGATTTTTTGGTTCTGTTGCTCTCCTTGTGGAGTTCCTGTCCTCTCTGGACCTTACTATTTCCCACTTCTTTCCTAAGATTCCCTGCACTCTGCCCAAAGGTTGCCCTTAAGTCTCAGCATCTGTGTTGATAGTGCAGGGCAGAGATTTTCAGAGGTCCTCTGTGTCAGGCTCCTGACTTGTTCCCTCTTTTCTCCTTCTTCTGATGTCCATCCTCTTTGCCTTTCTGGATAGGGGTTGAGCATTTTAGCAAGAGTCCTCCCCTTGATTAGTTTCTTTAAATGTACAGAATTTAGTAGGTTTAGCCTATACTATATGTCTATATGAGTGAGTATATACCGTGTGCATCTTTCTGCTTCTGGGATAGCTCGCTCAGGATGATCTTTTCCAGATACCACCATTTACCTGCAAATTTCATGATTTCCTTGTTTTTTATTGCTGAGTAATATTCCATTGTGTAGATGTACCACAATTTCTGTATCCATTCTTCAGTTGAGGGGCATCTGGGTTGTTTCCAGCTTCTGGCTATTACAAATAAGGCTGCTACAAACATGGTTGAGCAAAAGCTGTACTATAGAGCAACAATACTAAAAACTGCATCGTACTGGCATAGAAACAGACTGGTGGATCAATGGAATCAAATAGAAGATCCTGACATATATCCACACACTTAGGGACACCTGATTTTTGACAAAGATGCCAAACCATTCAATGGAAAAAAGAGACAGAATCTTCAACAAATGGTGCTGGTCTAACTGGATGTCTACATGTAGAATAATGCAACTAGATCCATACTTATCACCCTGCACAAAACTAAAGTCCAAGTGGATCAAAGACCTCAATATAAAACCAGACACAATAAACCGCTTAGAAGGAAAAGTGAGGAAGAGCCTTGAACTCATTGGCACAGGACACAACTTTCTGAACAGAACACCAACAGTACAGGCTCTAAGAGCAACAATCAATAAATGGGACCTCATGAAACTAAAAAGCTTCTGTAAAGCAAAGGACACTGTTGTCAGAACAAAACGACTGCCTACAGATTGGGAAAGAATTCTCACCAACCCTATATCTGACAGAGGACTAATATCCAGTATATATAAAGAACTCAAGAAGTTAAACAGCAACAAATCGAGTAATCCAATTAAAAAATGGAGTATAGAGCTAAACAGAGAATTCTCAATAGAGGAATATTGAATGGCAGAGAAACACTTAAAGAAATGTTCAACGTCCTTAGTCATAAGGGAAATGCAAATCAAAACAACCCTGAGATTTCATCTTACAGACATCAGAATGGCTAAAATAAAAAACTCAAGAGCCAACACATGCTGGAGAGGTTGTGGAGAAAGGGGAACCCTCCTCCACTGCTGGTGGAAATGTAAACTTGTACAACCACTCTGGAAAGCAATCTGGCGCTTTCTCAGACAATTAGGAATAGCACTTCCTCAAGATCCAGCCATACCACTCCTAGGCATATACCCAAAAGAGGCTCAAGTACACAACAAGGACATTTGCTGAAAACCTTTTTATCTTAAACTGACCTCGAATGTTAATCCCAGCACTCAGGAATCTGAGGGAGTAGGACTGTGAGACCAAGGCCAGCCTGACCTACACAGTAACACCCTGTCTCAAACATAAGTAAACTGACCCTCGGGTTATTTCAATTTTTCTTTTTCATTTCCCCGCTACTGTAGATAATCCAGTCTTTCAACTGGAGGGTTATAACCGGAGAGATACCAATTCTAGACTTAGAATATTTAATACCTCAGTGTATCATTCTACCATGTACATTCAAAAAACAGTGCCAAAGACCTTATTAGGAAACTTTGCTGAAGCTAATGCTGAAGCCTTAAAGGAGATGTTACAGCAGAGACCCTGGCAAGTTTCAAACACTACAGTATGTTCAGCCGGTGAGCAGAGGCGGGCAACAAAGGCTGGCAGCAGCTTAGGAGCTATTCCAGTGGAGTTTGGCTGACACAGGCACCAATAAATACGAAGACAGTGAAGGCCTGGCTCAGGAGCTTATGGAAGGGACAGAGGCAGGGGCCATAGGTGTGACATTTCACCCAAGAATCTGGCTTTACTTATCCCATGGCC